GCTACGCCATATCGAGCGAACAAGTGCCTTGTGTCGGTGCGTTCACAATATATATAGGGGGGTCCGACATGACTGTTTTAAATAGGGGTCCGTTTTTTAGTAGGTGCTCGGGATTATTTTTTGTACTTTGGCTCTACACCACGAAGTGTCACAGGATCACAATTTGTTGCTTGCGCGCAGGGTTTCCCAATGTTGTTTGAGACAATCCTTGGAGGTCGTGCTGTGCGTTTGGGTCAGATGCTGCGCCTTAGGGCGACCACCAAGTACTCAACATTAAGACATGCCTACTCTCCTCACTCGGACGGAGCTCTTTAGCCTGGTGATTGGAAGGCTCCGGGTTTTCACAGGGAGACGTTAGGGGGGACCTTGCAGGATGGGTTCTTTGGATTTAGACACAAAGCCTCGTCAGGAGGGTCTAAGCCTCGTCTACTACACCCCCCTGAAATCATCATGGCGTGGAGAACGCATGCTTTTGCGAGGCCCCGAGATCACCAGTCCGAAGACATCCGATGACCAAACAGGTGGCGCGAATCTCTTGCACTCTCCCTGGAACATCCTGGAACTAACATGCATGGAAGTAGAAAACCACCTGCTTGTAGTGGAAAATGGTCTTCCAAAGGGCCATTCTCCGCTTCCATGTTAGTTCCAGGGAGTGTAACCCGTTTTCTTCCGACATGTTTTTGATTTTTCGGTGGAGCGCCACACGTCCTTGACATATTAATGTCAGAACCAAGCAACCATCCAAGATGGTGATCCCAGAAGCACCTGAAGTTCCACTCAAATGCCATGGTTCTTTGCCCCATCCAAGACGTTGCTTGTTGTGATCAGTAGTGCATCGAAGTGTTTGAGGATGATCCGATGCAATCGATCAAGTCGTCCCGAGACCAAAGGTCGATGTTTTTTGGTCGATCACCTCTTGAGTCTTTCGTGGTTGGAACGTGGATCCCCTGGGTGGATACAAATGTAGCTTCTGGTTTCTAGTAAGGCCAGGAGCCCCCCTATATAGTTTCTGGTTCCTCAAACAGCAATGAACTTGGCATATTTCTCCACCGATCACGGTTCCGGCCAGCTTTTGAGTGCTCAATTTCGTGCTGGACTGGAGATTCCAACCCTAGAACTGGCATCGTTTGTCCCACAAAAAAAAAAACTCAAAAATCTCCATTCTCAGAAAAATTGCAATCAATGATCATCTATGTCCACGCACGTGGGTTCGACCCAACCCAATCATAGGGTTTTAAAGCAACTGTTCAACTGTTGCTTTCGGCCCTGATCTCCCGAAGACCAAGGACACGTCTTTCATGATCCAGGTTGACGTGCCTGGGCGAACGGGAAGATCGACCTGAAAGCAAGGAACTGAACTGATCGACCTAGGCTTGACAGGTCATAGCAATTGGGAGCAGATTCTGCGGATGTGGTTATTTACAATGTGGGTGAGGTGGTACAATACCCTAAATGATCCTAAATGGTTGAGCCGTCTTGGGTCATCCCCACATCAAGCTGCAGAGTTGTGGAGATGTGACGTTTCATGTGCCGAAGCATGGTTCAATGGTTCACTGACTATTTGACAACCTATATCAGGTTCGCTTTGTCGCATGTTTTTTGCTTTAAGCATCTTTGAGCCAATGCATGTTTATAGACACAACATGAGGATCTATGAGGTGTGGATTGATAGTGCGACGTCTAGCCACTCTTCATTGGGTCCAAGGATTCTTTTAGCATATCTTGCAAAATACAGAATCGCATGCAGTCATGCAGAAGCTTTATATACGCCAACCATACAGAATCAGGGTGACGTGGGTGGCCTGGCTGCTCCCAGATTTGCTGCAGAACTCAAGATGTCAATTTATCCTTTGGTGCTCATGGCTCCGCCATGTTGATGGAACCAGACACTATCATTTGAAACAGCCAGATGAAGAATTGGTGGATCGGTGCAAGTCTCTTCACATGGTTTGGTCTTCTATCCCCATCGCTGTTTGGATCGCGGATGTGCGATCGAGCGAGCTGCGCGTGGCACAACCGGTCAGCACGGCCCTGGAGAACCGAAAGAGGGGGGAGTAGGGTGGTGAGGTGACGGTGTGGGGAGACAAAGCACGAGAGAGAGAGAGAGAGAGCTGCGTATTTTGGTTGGATGGGTATGTACTTAGGGAGACCTGGAATCAATGGCTGGTCTAGGTTCCTTCTTTCAGGGGGTCGAACAGGAAGGTCCTATTTTGATACACCCTCATGATCTTCAGTGTGTCGCGGCTTGCCCTCTACGAGTGGCCCCGTAGTTTATCCTGAAAGATGGGGTAGAAGGTCCTGGACGACAATGTCGGTCAAAAGCACAAAAGCACATCCTCGTTCTGCTTTCGCAAGGAACATGGTCAAAATGGAAATGCCACGCAAACACCGCTAAAGGCGTGTCCCATGCAAATCATGTACGCAATGAGCCGATACCCTCTGAAAATGATGCCCCCATTCGGCGTGGATGCATCCAAGAATGGCTTCCAAGAATCCAAACATGGATGATGTTTAGTAACATGTATACTATCCCATGTGGTTACCCCTTTTATAGCCCTCATCCTCGGCCATGTTGCCATGTCATTTGTTTAGGGTGCCAGCATCCGAGCCTCGCCGAGCCGGATGCATGGATTTCCCCATTGCATATCTTGTTGGAAGGAAGGAATTTGATCTATCCATGGTGACTGCCGATCCAACAGAACCATATATAGGGCTGGCCCACATCCGAAGGTAGTTCGATCCCACCAAACCTGAAGGTTAAACACAGATCACCCAGATCTGTTGCATGCTCGCTTGGTGGTTTTTGGTTGCATGTTTTTTCCGGTTTTTTTTCTGGGAGGCGATCTCAGGTCATTGTGGCAGTTCCGGAGAGTGCGAGCCGCATGGCGTTCGAGACCTACATCGAACGTGCGGGCCTTGAAGCCCCTTGGTTGAGAATATACCGTGGCTCCTTTCGAGAACATACCGTGCTCCGCCGTGTTTCTTCTTGCATGTTTTGCTCGTTTTGGTGGCGGAGGACGTTCGGAAATGGAGGACGTTGACGTAGGTTTTTGGTCTACACTGCCTGAAAGGGATTCATCGTGACGTGGACATGGGGAAAGAAAAGAAAGTGGATGTTCCGAAGACCGAACTGGTGGTTTTCACTCTACTTCCACTTTTCCAGGGAGTTACGCATGTGATGAAGAAGCTTTTGGGTGAACACTCGCCCCTGGGTCACTCGCCCCTCGGTCTGGGTGGGGTGGCTGGTGGGTGAAAAGACCGGATTGATGGAGACTGTTCCAGTGGACCACGATTCCGTGAATGGAGAGGGTACCGTTCGGTGTGGATGGTGAGACGAACGAAACCAACGTCCAACGACACACGGTCCAAGTTGGAGCTTCGTAGTACCAGGGTATGTAGTACCTAGAAGCGATGGCCTCCAACCTACTAGCGATGGCCTCCAAACTGGACGAACCCGGCCATGGCCTGTGGGAAGACCTTGAAGACAGACAGGAGAGAGGAGCCTTTTGAGCCTTGACGGCGCCATGTCAAGGTTTTGATCCACCCTGAAAGACTGGGGCAATAGGCTGGTGAAGAAAGACTTGTCGGACAGATTTCCACACTGTGCATGATGCCAAAAAATGTGACCTCCAAGGACTTAGGAAGACTTAAGACCTTTGTACCGGTAACTCTCAAAGCTATGGCGGTTGTTTCGGGGGAGTTCAGAAAAACCTGTGAAGTTGCTTGGAGATGCTTAGGTTGACCCTTGTATCATCTGAATATGATGACTCCAAAAGTCTTTTTTGGATCAATGCAGGAGCATTGGTTCTTCTCGGTCCCTATAGACACTCCATGGGACAGAATATTCTGGAATATATGATATGCCTAGCTGCCTAACCCTCAAACCACTCCAATATACTCCAATGTATATGCCACTCCATGTCTAGTGTTAGGGTCATACACCAAGCAGTAAACATGGTGATTTGTTCTTCTAGTTTTCAGACACAGCCTTTGGAACACCAACGAACTCGTGTTCAGGATTCCGTGCTGGCCCTTGATGAAAAGGCTGGGAGACTGCAGCAAGTGGCACGACCCAGCAAAAATGTGTCTTTCAGCCTTCTGGGTAGTCTGTTAGGATCTGTTAGGGCTTGGATTGGATTGTTGACTGAGAGAAAAAAAACGACCCAGCCGACTCGAGGCGCACGAAAACGAACGCTCGGAGTCGCTGGTTTTCGCTCACGGATTCACTCGCTTGGAAGGCCTTTGTAATCGATGGCTTGGCTCGTACAGCAGTTTGCTTGTTTGCTGCTGCATGCTGCTGCTGCATGCTGCATGCTGCTTCGCTGCTGCTGCTTGTGTGTTGTTGGTGCTTGAACACTGTAACTGGAATGGTTTGATACAAAACCCAAGCTTTCTGGCGATCGGTTGCCTTGTAAACAGGAACCTGATGTGATCCTGATGTCACCCGATCGCAGCGGGCCACTACTTGCGGATTTGCTTGTTTCGAGTCACCTGATGTGACTAAAGTTGGTGACAGAATCCCTACAACCTTCCGTTACGATTGACATGCAGCAAACGGATGTAAATCAATCATACCCACACTCTTTTAGTTGGATTTTGTGAAAGATCATAACCCAACGGAAAGATCACCCCTCTCTTAGTTGGCAATCAATCAATCATGCTTTCCGTTGTTTTTTTGCACTCTTTGGTTCCACTCTTGGGGTGAAGAATCGCTCCATTGGGTATCAGCGCTCCATTGGGATTCGCTCCTGGGGTTGATTGGGGGGGATGACGTCTTGGAAACAGCATTGTAATGGTGATTTGGCATTGAAATAGTGGCAAGGATGACCAGGGGATGATTTGGCCAGATTCCTGTATAGCCCCTCAACCAAGCGGCCAAGATGCTGACACCTCGGAGCTGTTGGAGCCTTCAGTTTCGAGTTCCCTTAGTTCAAAGGTGTAGAAGATTAAGTGCATCATCATATTGACACATACCCTCCGCATTCCATTCCCCAAAAAAAGTCCATCAGACTCTTGGACGGCACTTCCCGGAGTCTTCAAGGAAGAACCTTTGCATCATTCCATCCACGGCACAGGTTGAGATGCAATTTTTTCGCAGCAAGCAGAAGCAAACCTTTGATCAATTCGATCCATCATCAGTCATGTCTCCGATTCAGTCCCATGAACCAACCTACAGAGGTTGACTGGCCCCACCTTTGCCTATCCGATATGTACCACTGGCCCTTTTGGCCCCAGTTCACTTTGGCCGACGCCTTCAGGAGCTGGCCGACGCCTTGCTGGAGGCGCAAGGCGGAGACCCAGAGAATCCACTCCTGGTGCTGGTGGGCGAAGCCTCTCGGCTGCCGAGGGGGAGTGAAAGCGTCAATGCAGCAGCTGTAACTCAATGTTCTAAGAGCGATGGCCTCCAACCTAACAGCCTTGACTTTGATTGAAACATGCATACGACCCTGGAATTTCTAGTTATCCTTAGTTGCGATGGCCTCCAATGCACTCTTAAGTTGCGATGGGGATAGGAACCTCAAAGGGGGAGTGCACATTTCCCGGACGCCTGGACAGGTGCAGTTGCCCAATGCCAAATGCAGAGAATGGGTTACACTAGGGCATTTTTTGTGGCACATAGCCCCAGATGTGGATGACCCAGATGTGGGTCCTTTCAGATGTGGAGTTGCTTTGGTTTGGAAGCTGGTAAAAGTTCACCCCATGCCCTGTCCCAAATGGGTGCATCCGGGCTGCTCGAAGTTCACCCCTTCCAACCTCAAACATTGCCCGATTTTCTGCCATAGCCCACAGTCCTAGCTTGACTCTGCCGAAAGAGACGCATAAGACCCCTTGAAAGATCCGAGCCGAATGAATGCAAATCTCAAACTTGAAAAACCCTTATACCAGGACCCTCCGACAGGTCACCAATTGAGACCTGTTAGGGTCCAACAACCCTCAACTAACAGCCTGTTGGAGGGTGCTGGTATATTAAACATAAGCCACAAGAAACTTGGGTCTTGTCTAGTTAAAGGATCGAAGTCTGCCAAGCCCAATAACACCAATGCAACCCAAACAAAGAAACACACTGATATCGATATGTTCAAATCCACACTAACATCGTAGCGTTGCGAGCCAGCGTGCTGGCATTCGGCGTTGCCCAGAACTGTTGGTGCTTCTCTCAAAGGACACCAACACGGAGGATGCTTACCATCCGTTTGTTCTTGTGCATACACATATTTGTTGAAGAAGCAAAGAGGCCACAAAGTCCAGGACAACGGCAAGCAGCATTGTGCTACAATGAAGTTGTGGAAGTTGAGAGACATCCGCCCAACCGAGTGCCAAAGTGCCGACGGAGTCTGCCAAAGAAATCTCAGTGAGAAAGCCTTCTTGAATGAACACGGCAAACCAGGCAGCAAAATGACAAAGCCAAAAAGCAGGAACCGACAAATATGCACTGCCATGCAGCACCATCTGCACCAAATGGTCACGTTTGAGTACACCATAGCGGAAACCATGGTTTGGTCGGGGAGGCTTTGACTCATGTACATCATGTACCAAATAAGTCTTTTCCATGGGCTAGGCCACAGCGGCGTGTTGGATTCCGGCATCTGGTTCACCCACCGTCTGACCGTACACGTATTGTGCACGAGCATTTGTGGAAGGAACATCATGTAGCCTCCTGTCCAATCATTCGCTTGGGGTACCCTGCCTGGCAGACCCTGTGGCCCCTTTTCGCACCTGTGTAGAAGTCACTGAAAGGCATACATTGAAGCTGCTGCAGGTGTTGCAGTCCAACAATCCAGGGGTTTAATTACTTCAACATGAGCCAATGATTTGTGGACATGTGTTGTTGTGTATGGTTGTGTGGCCATCCGGTGTAGCGTTGCTACCGATGTTGACCGTTCCTTTCAGTTGTTCTTCTCCGTTCTCTTCAGCGTCATCCCATCCTCCATCCTCCATTCCGGGTCTTCAACCATCGTGTCTTTAGGGTGTTTTCAGATCAACCATCGTGCCCGACCTGCCCCACCTGCGCGACCTGACAGGGTCACTGAAGTGGTTAACCTCACGGGTTGGCGGATAAAAGCGGGTTTGAACTTGGAACTGGTGGGTGTTGAGGATTCGTACTTGGATGACATTCGAAAGCTTCATCTTCAAGTGAGGCGACCCTTTGCACCTTGGCCCACCGGCCTGGGGGGACCTCTCTGGCCGGTGATTGTTTGAGTGTCTCAGAAGGTTTCAAAGAAAGAAGCGATGTGGATCTGATACTTGTACGAAAACATGAGGAGGACAATGGGACGGTAACCAGTTCTGTTTAATCTTGTTTGATTCTGTTTGTAGTCTTTGAGAATTGTTTATCGGCCAATGAACTGATGATAAACATTGATACACTGATAGATCGGCTTGTTCATGGCTTCAAACTGAACTCTTGCCGTGAGTCCATTTCACTCGGCTCGGGGATGTCTTGGATAGATTTCGTTGGCCTGCAGCTGCTAACTCTGGCTATTCCATGTTGTGAGGCCGATGAAGAGGGATAATACTACCAGAGGTGGCAACAGGGAACAATGTGGTAGGTATGCTACTTGTTGAACAGGGATATGGTAACAGGAGGTTCCTTGCTGCTCTTCGACCAAAAGAACTCTTTGCTCCTTAAGCCCTACACGTCAAATGCCGTACATTGAGTTTTCCACAAGTCGGTTTGAAATTAAGGGTGTAAACACCGGGCATAGCTGGATCATGGACCTCTATTTGGAGCCTCTAGCAGGCTTATTGTTGTAACACCGGGCACGATTTTCAACCGCTCTATTGTTCAGGATCCCGACAATCTTCACCTGTTTGAAGATTCATGTGCAACTGGATACACTGTTGGCTGGGAGTGGTTCATGTTAGGGGGTTGTTGCATTTTGGTTCGGAATAATGTTCAGGTTTTGGAGAACTATTACATCCTCAATAAAAGAACACACTACTGATTATTGAATGTGCATTCATGAGGTTACTGCAATACATGTCATTTGGAACCACACTCTACTCACAGAGGAACCGCAAAGAACCTGCAAGTTTCTTGTTTTGCTATGATGCGAAGCAGTTTGAGGTCAATTGGCTCAACTTTGTATCCTCACTGCATCCACCCTTCGACTCACCAATATGCAAGTGGAACAGTGCCTTTGGGAATCAATGTTTGTCCACAAACAGCTGGTGCCATCCAAGTAACCAATTGATGAGTCCAATTCTTCCAAGGCCTCCTGGGATTCGGCGTTCCCATGTTCGACTCACTTGGGATTTTTCAGTCCTGTGACGGACCTCAGGCTCCAACCTGCTGCGAGCAGAAGGTGGTTGGAGTGGTTTGTTGTTGCTTTTGCAGAGGTCTTTCAAGGTTTTTCTCCTGCTGTATTCTATATACACACCCATGTGCGGCGGTTCTTTACCCATGTTGCTGTCTTTGGTTCTGCCAGCGCTCTGACAGTCCCCATTGGTCAAAAGCTCTGACTGCCCCGCTCTTTGTCCCAGTTGGTTTTGGCATCGGGCAACTGCCGAAGCAATTGCCACTATCTTCTGCCGGCCTCCTGTGGTCAGGCCAGGCTGGGGCCAGGGCGGGCCAGGCTGGGGCCAGGGCGAGCCAGGCTGGGGCCAGAGAGGAAAGAAACAGCGCGTGATGCTATGACATGTGCTTTGGGCACACACATTCAGGACCAAGAAAAGGATGGCTGGGTGAGGATCATGAATATAGATACCTATATATACCTATAGAGAGAGAGTGAGAAACTATAGTCGCTGGTTGCATCTAGAGACGATGACCATCGTATGTCTCCTTTGAAAGTGGGTGCTACTTCACGGATTGATTCCCATCCTCAGCTGCCAAGATGGAAGAAATAGCAATTCCTGGCAATGCCTGGATGTCCACGTTTGGAGGAACTCTATACACCCTTCCACTTCCATCAAGAAGAAGCACGGACTGCCCGTTCAGATGCTCAGAATTGCTGGTTGCGCCGAAACCGCGCCCATCACTGGACCGGGGACGGAGCCCACAAGCTCAGACGAGGTCAGAGTGTTTCGCCAGTGAAAGAGAGATCGATGTCGATCACTCCTGGTAAACAAAAGGTGAGGTTCAAGAAAAAGGTAATGCGAAGCGAAGTTGGGTCAACTGCGGTATTTTTTTGCATTCGTGAGCCAGATCTGGAGAGCATCACAAGGTCAGAACGAGAAGGTGACAGATTCTCCCCAGGACTCCAACCATATCCTTAGTACGTAAATAGATTAAATAGTTAGACAGTTACACTCCAATCCTGGAAGCAACCTTGGGACGGTTTTTGGACGAGAACTGCCAAATGTGCCAGGGGGGGGTCTCACTCTTTTCTGAGGAATGTTCAAGAGAACATGCGAGTCTACAGGAAGCTTGGGGCTAAACAAGGGCCACCACGAGCGCCGAACGCACCCACCAAAGTGGCGCCCACCACGAGCGGAACGTCGGGCGCGTCCCTCCTTTGAGCCAGGCCAGCTTCACAGAAGCACTCAGGCACTGTGGCTTGGCATGACCTCGTCAAAGCACCAAACATCGCAGGATTCGCAGCTGGACTTGGCGTGGTCCGAAAAATGGAGCAGGTCACAACAGGTCACCACCAGCATGCGCAAAAACGCAACATTTGATACATCAATTGACCAGTGTTTGATCAATGTGTTCATGCATGATGAGCGTACTGAGAACAAAAACATAAAAATCAATAACGCATCAATGCGAATCAATGCTTGCCTCTCAATGTTGCCAGGCCTGTCCCACATACCCAAAAAGATAACAAGAAGATACCTATGTTTCGGCTAGCCGCTAGCCTCGAACAGATGCTTGTTTACTAGATTTTTAATGCTATTGTGCGAGTTTGTGGTTCCTGTTTTGGTTTTCCTAGGTTACAGGAAGCCATGTGTTTTTCCTTCGTCAATGTTACTTTGGTTTGAAGGAGATTGAATTGTAAACACTGACCAGCTATTGAGCATTAAGAATAACTTTGTGGGGGGGGGTTCCAGCAGATGAGCAGCCATGATTCATGAAGGTTGTTGTTTGTCCTGGAGACACCATTGGTATTTGCAGATATTTGCAGTGCGTCTTGATCAGGTCATTGCATGTTGTTCCCTTTTTGACAAGTTCGATCAGACAAAAGCTAGGAGCAATAATTCAATATCACTAATATAGACTATTGATTCATAAAACCATATTGGGGGGGTCTATTAATCAACATATTAATATAGAGGTTCCTTTATATGCTCTCCGGTTTGGAAGGGTTTCTTCTTCAAACTGTCTTTGTAAGAACGCACCAGGTGACAGCTCTCCGTGCTCGCAAGCTCACGCATTGTCCGAGTGCATCGTCCATTCGGGACAAGGGCGGGTGTGTCCCATTCCCTTACAATCGGTAAAGGATGGTCAGCGACTTTTTTTGAGAAAGGTCTTTACCAACCATCATCATCCACTGTTATCACCCACACTCCCCCCCTTCAATGTGAATGTTTGCTAAGCGGCCCTTCCATTCTTGATTTCCTGAGTCATTCATTTGTATAGAAGGTTTCTACATCAAGCAGAGTTGCCAATTAATCATTGCAAGTGCTGAACAAGAAACAGAGAAGCTACTGAAGCAAGAGGAACACTAATCGAGAACAGGATTGGCTTGTCAAGGGCTATGATTGACGTCAAAATTTCAGGAGACCAAGAGAAAAGCACTTTCAGGATAGGACGACCTTGTGAAGAAAAGGATCGTGCTGCTTGAACAAACACACAAAGAGACAAAGCTGTGTACACGGGAGCGAGACAAATTAGTTCGACACCAAAATAACAGAATCATACGAATATATGGAGCTAATCACAATGGTAGAGGAGCCAACTAAGAAGTCAAGCGACTGGAAGAGTAAGCGATCTTGATAAGAGATAATAGATTGATACAACATACATAACGTACAGAACTTGGAGCCACGAACAGACAACAGGAGCAAGGAAACATGGGACGAAACATGTTATTTTTTTTTATATGTTTTCAATTATTGTAGAACAAAACTAAAAGAGGCCCCAAACGAAACTCAAACAAATTAATCGACGAGAACATGCATTAACCTAAAAAACCTGTCAAACGACCACTGGAATTTTAGGCTTTGTCTTTGTCACTGTATCTCGGAATCTCCTCAACCAATTTGTTTCCTTTACGCCCTGGGCTCGCGGGGGTGGAACATCAATCTGTGTAATGTCCTTTTGCACGAAAAATAACGAACTATGTTTACCATGCATGACCATGCACTTTCAAAAGCGTGTGAGGGTGAGATCTCGAAGAAGATGCTGCATGTCTTGAAGACAAGCAGAGTATGAGTCATGAGAATAAACTCTCCCTCCACCTCAAAAGGACCAGTTTTACGAGGTACTGCTGTAAACGACCCAGTTTAATTGGGCCCAGTAAAGCGAGGCACTTGACTTGGAGGGTCTGATGTGGTTTTGTTTCTCGGAGGGTCAAACATGTGAGGCCATGCGCCAGGTGTATCACCGGCCGGGTCTCTCGGCCTGGCTGGGCGGTTTTTTCTGCAAAGACCTGTGTCGAGGTGTGGCTTGGAGCATGTCCAAAAGGGTCTCAGAGCTGTGACTTGGAGAGGGACTTACTGCGCCAGGATGTACGTGGGGCACTTGCAGGTCACCATGTTGCAGAAAATGGGTACACTTAAACCCTACACCCCACGGAACCAGAACAGGTGGCTGTTGTTCGGAAAACACCTTGATTGATCCAGGAATGTCTGGCCTCGGTCTGGGGAGTCTGAAATTTGAGCCCCTGGGAGATCGGTGAAACTTAACGTTGCAACATGGTGTGCCTTCGGAATCAAGCTTAGGAGGAAGCGTCATCCGATTCTAGCAAACATGGAGAATCACATTGATGGGGCCAATCCAACGAATGGATTACATGGGAGTTGTACAACCGTTGAGATGATGATAGAGGATGAGTCTGCAACATTGGGATTTGAACATCCGGTTTTAGATGGTTTTAGTGAGGTAAGGGATTTGTGCGGCTTTCCAAAGGTCTCCAAGCATAGAAGGAAAATTTTCAGGAGCTGGCTAGCAGAACCGCCTTCCATGTCCAGAGGAGAGATTTGCTTAATTGTTTTTCGGCTTTTGTTGGGAGCTACTAGTAGCTTCTTGCTCCTAGTAGCGATGCCCTTTGGCCCTTTGTTCCTAGTAGTAAGGCCAGGAGCACCCCTAGTAGCGGCCTTGCTCCGTTCGAGTCGCGATGCATTCGCCGGAGTTCCGATGTCTTGAGAGATTCGGACCATCCAAAAGCACGGTGACCATCCATGCAAACCAAACGAACTGACAAACACCCTATGCGCACATGGAAGTGGAGCCCGCCCTCCCCCCTTGTTTTTCTCAAAGGTCCCGTAACGTGCGTCCAGGCACTGTAGGTTGAAGCCAGGCTACGCGTATGGATTTGGGACCCATGCTTGATTGCAGGATACCGCTCAGCATTTTGCATGCTGAGTTGATGGGGGCTTGAGTGTATTTATGAAAGTAAGTGTATTCTATACAAGTTGTGGAGTCATTTTCAGAGTCACGTGAGCATCCGCGAAGTGCGAAATGTTCGTCGTTGCGGGGACATTCATGTTGTGGGGCTCCAACGACCGCCGGTTCGAAGGTGGTTTGGGTGTGAGAGGGGTTCCAACTACCTGAGGAGGTCTTGATGTTTGAGTTTCGCCAGAGTCACTCATTAACTGCGGTTTCAGTAAAAAACACAATTTTTTTCCGGGAGTCGCAGTGTACCTTATACCGTACCAGTTGCGGAACGATATATATTCGTCTATAGTCCGTCCGTATTGCGTATATAGATATCTTTGTTGATTGGTTGATTCGTTGTAGAAACAGCCACAAAGACGACGTATCCAATCTAACGAGCAGGCCTCCCAAGTCCACCCAAATCACGGTCCTGGACCAATCCCGGTCCAAGATTACCACTCCAATCCAGATGCCTGTGATGTTCAATGAGACTTAGCAGATTGTTGGAGACTTCTGCGGCGGTTTTTGGAGTCCTTTCTCGGAAACCGCAAATTGTTAGTCTCCACCACCGGACCCTGGTCCTACCGGTTTTGACATCACCGTAAACACCCCAACAAACCGTCCAAAAACCTGTTATTTTTTCCCGAGCAAAACACTTGGTTTTGGTATGTGAAAACCTGAATGATTCATGGTGATGATGGGCCCCTGGTACGGCGTTGAAATCGAATCAACTGTCTCCATGCTCAGCTCGGGTGACAGTCACAGGGGGGGGATCAGCTGGGTGACACAGCACCGGCGGTGCAACGGCACTGAGGACTGGACGAGTCAGAACGTACGTCTGAACCAAGGCTTCCAAAATTGGATGGAACCTAGGTTCTGAAGACATCAGCAAGTTACTCCAAGGTTTCTCCTACCACCCGTTTCTTTGTGTGTGCCTCCACGTTTCACATGGAGACTGGTCAGGGGGATCGATTCGAAATCAGATCTGTTTCCGTGACAGAGCCAAAAACATGTATGATCTATTGAAGATCTCATGTCTACCCAGAAAAAAAAAAAAAAACATGTATATTTATCATGTCATGTGCCGAGCGTCGACTCGGGAGTCTTGTGACGTGGTCGACTGGGCCTCCATCATGAGCCGGTTCCAATGGGTCTCAAGGGACTGGGGAAAACCTCGGTGGGCTGGGGAGACCAAGATCAGTTCTTTTGGGGAATCGGGTTCAATTGGGGACCCAGGCTTTGGGGGACAAGATGATGTCCACTTGTCGCTCACTGTCCAGTGTTGGTGTTGGCTCTGTTTTGCAGCATCGATGTGAGATGTGATGACTCCAAATGAAAAAGACATTGAAGGTATACAATGATATTGCACTGTCAGTCAGTTTGATGATGTAAAATAGAGACTCAAATTGACTGACACCATCCTACTATGGTAAAGACCGATCAATTGGGTCGTTGTCAATAGAGACCCTGCTATATGGTAAAGACCAATCAAACATCGACCCTGCTAGAAAGGCTGCTCCTGCCACGAAGCCTGTATTCTTCAGGCGTTCCTGACCCGAGTCCCTTCACGCCAAGGTGCCACGTGTCCAAAACTGCAGGGTCCTGGGGAACACGCCGACACCTTGTTTGCAGACCAGTTTCTAGACCAGTTTCTATGATCAATTCACTCGCTTCCAGTGAGCGGCGAACGCGATCCTCATCGCGCCTCGGGTTTCAAACTTTCAAGAGTTGTGGGTGACCGGAATGCTCCGGTGAACTCACACACGTGAAGATGTATTTGGGAAAGTTCTATATAGTTTCGAGTTTCTGATGCCCAACACTTTTTAAGGCATCTTGCGATTCCAATTTCAAGCTTTCTGCATGTGGGGAGGCTGGCACAGCATGAGATCGTTTTTGGCAAAACCATGCCCAGAAGAGTCCAAATTGTGGAAGGACCCAAAAAATCTCACAAGGAATCAAAGGCTTTTGGCCACTGAGGCGTCCAGAAATATGTGATGTCCACGGCCGTACCGTACTGGACCTTGACTGGCCCATGAATCCTAGAGTAATCCATTGCACGGACTGGTTCCAATGCCGGCATCAGGGCGTGTTTGGGATGTAGGGATTTGCAGGGAAGAGGATCAGAACCAAAACTGAGCATCACTCCAGCTTCTGAAAGGGGTGGAAAGTTATGGTGGAATATGTACATGGCCGTTGGAAACCACAGTGAACAGAGGGATGTGGCACTGTGGTGGAAATCCAGGCGGCCACATGGATTTTCAGCTTCCAGTCTCCTACCTTTGAGTTATAGCAATAAAGGTCTCCTTCACGGCATCGGGATTGGACCGAGACCTTTATTGCGTTGCTTTCAAAAAGTGGTTTCACATGGTCTTTCCTTGGACTCCAGGCTCAGTGGGTTTTTGGTCCACGCCACATGTCCATGTGCACCCCTTCACTCACTTTTTGGATCGGCCCCTGTACAGAGCAGCTCGCCTCAGCGAGGCGAGCTGCGTGCTCACGCCGATGGCAATCAACACGTTCGCTTCATCACGCCGGCCGAAACATGCCAAAAGCATGTTCTCCTTTTTGGCGAACAACAAAAAGACAAACTAATGTGTTCATTATTTTAAAGGGGGGGGTAGGCCACTAGTAGGGGTGAGGTAGCTAGGTAGGTAGCTAGTAGTAGCTAGGTAGCCAGTAGCTTAAGTAGCTACTACTTAGGACGCAGGATAGCTCTCACGCTTTAGGTCGGCGGGGGGGAACTTGACTCAAAATCAACTATTTGGACAAAGGAAAACACGATTGGACGAAGCAACAGTTTGGTGCAAGGGGCGATCGCGAGCAAAAATGGATTTGGAAAGATTCATATCCAAGTCCATATCCATTCAACCTTATGATTCAAGCCCACTCTAGACCTGACATGATCAAAATTATTTCGAAGGGTTCCTCAGGCACTCTGCCAACAAAAGATATGCACTTCCACGAATTCTCACAGTTTATGATAGCTTATGATGTTTGCTTGAGCCTTAGAGTTCAGCTTACATATAATGTTGAAGCTGTTGGGGGGTCAGGAGTTTGAAGAGATTCTCACAAGTCTTTGTATTTTTCTTTCAGGATGACATCCAGACCCCTGCTGGGGGGTGCGCTGGAGACACAGAATACCAGATCAAAAAAGTCGAATGTCAAAGGCAAAATCCTTTCGGATGTAAACTGATGACCTCCGAGTGGAATATTTGTGACCAGCTGAAAGCACTTGCCTTTCGCAGACCCCTATTTGATGTCACTCGAATCCAGAACTTCGGCGAGGCCGGCCTTGGGCGGACCGCCACCATGACATGACTAGCAGCGCGACCGGTGTGTGTGCGAGAGGTTGGTGTCCTCCATCCCTCATCCAAGCGATATTCGGGTGTAGGGGTGCAGCAAAGCGGTTACAAAATATAGGTTGGTTCCAGAAACATTCAAACGGATTGAGGATTTGGTCTTTGCTTCACGCATTGTACGAACAAATCGGAGGAATCCAATCCAAGACGTTGACAGCCCGATTTGAGGAGATTGCCAGTGTTGCACACAATTTTCTTGCTCAAAGGTATTCTGCTGGAGTAAGGATTGAACTGGAAAGTCTGAACAGCTACAGACATACATTAAAAAAGAAAACATCTCCTGAACATGTCTAGTCAGACTTGGATAGATAAACCATAGTCACGCGGGGGTGGCAGGTTTGTCGTGAGTAATTTATTGGTTTGCCGTCCAATTGGGAAGAGCAATGGAACTAAATATATAAACCTGACGTTTCACTTGCAACACCTGTAGAAAAACTACAACACTAAGAAACTTTAAAGTCCTTTGTGTTGTGCCATTGATAGTGATTTGGGGTTATCAGCTCATTCCATGCTACAAACTGGATATGCACCAGGTGATGATGCCAACAAATGTGCTCTTCTTGGACTGGAAGAATAGCTAGCTTCTGTCAGTTCCCATGTCCACATCCTTAAAGTTTCTTGGGATCTTACCGAGAGCCGACCTGGCAAAATGAAAATCCTTACTGCAGCTGCGAATGCGCAGCAAGGGAAGTGGGTGACCGGTTTTTCTTGCAGTGACCGGATTGTATTGCAGTGATGGCTGTGTCTAAGCGCTACGGCCATTGCTCCTGATCTTTATAACAACGCCAGCTAGATTGACCCTGCGCGTTCTTCTAGGTAAGCTTGATTAAGCAAATAAGTACAGTAATTCAACAGGCAGACGTGCGCCTTGCTTCTTTCTGCACGGATGCATGTTTCCAGCGGCCTTGTTGGGATGTCTTTCAATTCAGCATCCAGCTGTTTTTCTTATGTTGTTGTTTTTTTCCTGAGCCGTTGTGATTTTCAGGTTTTGAAGGGAAGTTCTCATGGCTCTCGATGCCCAACACTCACACTCGTCGTCGAGACGCATAGCATCGCATAGCATAGCTTGGTCCTCCTGTTCCAGTTCCGGCATCGGGTGCCGATGTTCCGAGAAGACAGGCGAACATACCTGGCTTCCCCCGTGGACAGAGCTTCTTGAATCTGTCTTAAGTTCCGAACGTCCCTCCTGACAAAGCGCATGCGCGTCTACATGGCGAACGTGCCTGCTGGCTGTCCGCGTACACATGCTTGTTTACAGGGCTGATGTGGTCTCCACACAGACAAAACCCACACCATCCAGGTATGGCCTATTTACCTACGTTGGGGTGGTAAACCGGTGTCAATGCAAGCATCATGCTTCCAGTCCCATCGATGGTATGGGAAACTGATCGACCAAGTGCCCCGGGGGTATGCAAAAATGCCAACATGTTCTGAAAAGATCGACGTATCCTTCGCAAATCTTCCTGGAAATGTTTGGGAAAGAAACACCCCGTTGACTGACACCGTATGAGTTTAGGTGACCTGATTCTGGGGGATTCCGGTGATGTTGAGATGTTCGAATTGTCTCGGTATAGAACTCAAACACAAGCGAACCTGCACGACGAGCTCCCACATCCCCCGACCGTGTTTTCTCAAGTCGAAAGGAGAGATGGCCATGGCCGGTCAAAACCAACCCCAAACCCTAGTAGGTTGACCTGGCCAGTGATCTTTGGTTCATATTTGGTGGGCAAGCCGGGTGTTTCGGGTGCCCGAAACACCGCCATATGACTCCCCAGACGATGTCCAACATCTGAGAGTTGGTCGTTTAGTCTTCCGATGTCAACGAAGTCCAGGCACCGACCCTCGAATCTCGAATCGATGATTCTCGGTATTTGGAGCATCTTGAAGCATGAGCTATCTCCTGCGGTCCGAGAAGCGACCGTGAGCATGTATGCCGGGACCGCCCGTATACTTCATCAGGGCGGCGGGACCGGCTATTTCGTTCAGCAAGAGTGGGCTCAAAAGCACTGGCTTCTTTCATCTTCTAAGGGATGAGGGATCTTCGGATGAAGAGTGCCCTACTTTGGCAGTAAAGCGCAGCTGGATCCCGTTCGCCACAATGGGTCTTGTCAGGGGGTGATGCTATAACGCCCAACGGAACGGCCCAAGTCTCATGACGATCAAGAGCGGTTCAACGACACGACGCAAGGCATGCGCGGGGACGATGAAAACAGCGGCCGAGAGGCCAGCGGTCTTCAAGCAGATAGAAGTGATGGAACGTTTAATCAATTCAGCAGAGGTTTGGTTCGTATTGAGCTCTATATCAGAGGATGTTCATTAGATGTTTGTATACAAGAATTTAATCACCTGCATGTTTAGCTTCACGATAACTACTAGCTGGAAAACATTAGAACTCTCCAAGCGATATTGGCAATGGCCAGTGTCGGTTTTGTGCCAAGAGAGTAGGCTGAGCAGGCTGATGAAGTCAAGCGATAGGCTCCGACACACTACCATGGAAAACCCTAAACCCTAAACCACCTGTTTGCCAAGGAAAAGGGGCGTCCAGGGGGCCAATCCATGGGCCATTCCGTCTGTGTTCGTTGATTCGTCTGTGTTCCACAGCACGGAGTCACGTAGG